AACTGGGCAAGCCTATGGTGAGTACTGTGCCATCAGGGCAGATCTGGGTGACACAGTCAATTCTAAGAAAGGAAATTCAGTCCCTCACATTACTTAGGTAATAACACCATATTCCATTTCCCAGCAGAGTGATCAGAAATAAGTCCTATGTAAAATACTTATGATACCAATGCTTTTCCTGTGTTTACACTCAACTATGTCAATATAGATGTGAAGTACATTATTTCCCAATAGACTGTGTAAGTATTTAGACAGTATTTGGAATCCTATAATAAACAAAAAACCCACTGCTAAATCATAAAACTTATGCTTAATCATTTTTTATTAATATGAATCATCTATAATAATAATTAATACTATGCCAATCATCTTTCATACTAATATAATAAAGTAACACATGCATTTTACTTTTGCTGAGCATTTCCAATTTTGTGCCTGTAACTTCTACTGACATGAATAAGACAGGTTACAAATGGCATTTGATTTTCTTTCATACATCATATAAAGTGTGACATATTGCAAGTACTGTTACCATCTTTTTTATTAAAGTTGAACCTACACTCCTGCTTAATTTGCTTCAGCATGTCCTATGGAATTACCATTCTTCAGAAGAAGAGCTGTGACATCTGATATTGCAGAAAGAACTCAGATGACTGCAGACAGGATGTCTTGCCACAACAAACCAGTATACAACCTTCACTCACTTTCTGTCAGAGAAGAATGACAGGTATTGATGAGGAACATGCTTTATCCAGAACACTACTCTTTTAAGTAGCAGACAGTAAGGGGAGCAGGGGGGCAGGCAAGGGGAGAGATGAGGGGACAAATTTCTAATTAATCCTTCATGCCCCACATGTTCTGTCTTGATAAGCTGTATTGGGTCTGGCTCCAATACTGTTATCTGTCTTCATAGCATCTTGTATGGTGCTGCATTTAGGATCTGTAACTAAACCAGTGTTGATAACACAACAGTGTTTTACTTATGGCTGAACTGCGCTTGCACAGTGAGTAGGCTACTGGTAGGCAAGAAACTGAGAGGAGCCAAAGCCAGGATAGCTGACCTGAATTGACCAAAGGGATATTCCACACCATATGAAAGTGTGTTCAGCAATAAAAGCTCAAAAAAAGAGTAAGGGATGATGCTTGTGTTTATGGCATTACACGTGCTCAGGCCCTGCTTTCCAAGCACTGAAAAGTAGTGCATAAATACCTTTTTTTCTTTCCTTGCACATGCAGCTTTTGCTTCAACTATTAGACTGTTTTGAACTCAATCCACGAGTCTTTTCACTTTCTATTTTCTCCTCATACCGGGGGAAAGGAGGAGGTGACTGTGTTCTCAGTTGCTGGCTAGGGTCAGCCCACTGCATAAGTTTTATGATTTCCACCTAAAGCAGAGTAACTCTGATACTGGGCTTTAGTTCAAACCTGGCTTTGCCTCTATCAGTAGCCTAAAACACCAATAGTGCCAGTATATATGCTCAGTAAGACACTTGCAGGTTTGTCACAGAGCCAACTTTTCTATGACTCATTTCTTGCTAATCTTAGCAACAACATTATATGCTCATGAGTTAACTTCTGTTGAATGGTTTCTTTACTGTATACAATCCAAATATCCTCTGCATCAGCAGTAGCAATATAAATTTCCTTCTTTCCCGTGTTTCTTCACAAACATCTACACTAAATAATGCAAAAAGAGTCCTTTGCTATTAACTTTCGTTGTCAAGTTGAGCTTTCTCACAGTGAAGCACTTTCTGAAGCACTGAATCAGAGAATATTTATTGATTTATTTTACACAAACATGCTACAGGCTGTCTACCTTTTCCTTTCAAGGAACCAATGCAATAGAGCACTGTGCACTGCATTTGTATGTTTTGCTGTATTTAAGTAACAGGTGCTTTTTACTTCCTTATAACTATTATATGCAGCATGAAGTCAGCACATTGCAGCAGCTAATTCTTGTGCAGTAGTGATTACTTAGTTCCCAAATGCAACAATTTTACTGCAAAATGCAATTTTAAGTAGATGACTAACATGTTACTACTGTGTGTTTATCCATTTCTGGAGTGAAATAAGTTATCTTTTCTGCTTTGCATTGTGCTGTGACAAAGAAAAGCTTTGATAAATTAGCAAATATTGCCCCTTATCTTTTAAATTATGTTTTTAACACAAGGCTTTGGAAGCTAAATTTCTAGCTTTTGAAAAACTGAGACTGACAGTCCTGCATCACACAACTGCATGAAAAAGGAAGACTTAGTGACAAATGAATCATTTTACAGACTATATTGTATTATATCTAAACCTTTTTTCTTTTTCTGAGTCAGACACTTTTTCAGATATATCTTTCATACTGCCCAGGTCTACAAAATCACCAACAAAATATTGCCTTTATGCATAACACCCAGTTAAACTTCCCCCTTTTTAGCCCCACTTAAGATTTTCCAAAGTCAATCTTGATTACCTTGAAAGAACCTGTCTCCATGGTTTTTTTCCAGAACAGTACCCCCAAGGAGTGATAAAACTGGAAAAATGAATAATACCCTGGCTCATCTGGACAGAAGGTTGTTAAATGCCTGATAGGTGATAACAGATGGGATCAAAACTGAAGAAAAGTGTCTCAATATGATGTTGAAGTAAGTAGAAAAAGCCTTTGTCCCTGGAAAGGAAGAAGATAAACCAGGAATGTCTTTGCTTTCGCATTTATGAAAGATGTGAAATAGAGATGTCCTTATCTTTTGCTTTCAGTGATGCCACTCTGGGCTAGATACGCTCAGATCAGCCCTGTCAGGCAGGGTAACATACAGACATCCAGTCTGTGAATTTTGAAGTTCTCTGGACAGAAAGAGATGCTGAGCTGTTCTACTTTGCCAATATGGGAGTTCTTCTGCCCTTTTCTAATAGAAACGTAGATAAAAATCAGGTTTCTGGTACAAATTATAGGCTCTATGAGTTGCGTGAAAACTCAGTAAGGAAAATATTTGTGAGGAAGATACGAAGATTCTTTAAAAATCTGTTATTTATGGGCTTAACTTTGAATGCAGATCTTTAGTTTAGACTGTTAAAGCATTTTGGCTTTGATGTTTGAAAATGATCCAGCAAATCTTAGTCCCCTCACATATCATATTAATTTCATTTAAAATTCTCTATCAATCACTGCTTGTTTTCACTCTCAATAAAAGAAAAAAATATATTTACTCGTTACTGTACAGAAAATAATTATGAAATGTTTTTTCCATAAACATCTAAATGTAACATAGTTAACAATTTTGTTTTGATGGATCAAACCAACAAACTGTAGACAAGAAGTTTAGCCCTTAGTTAAGAAGACAGCAGCTGCCAGTACAAGTTTCTTTGCCATCAGCTAGACTTACTGTTTTGTATTCTTCCTTTCACTTCCCAGACACTGTCATTATCTATTACTGTATCAGTAGATGATCTTTGTTTAATTTAGCAACTTGCAGTATGAAGTATTCTCCAAATAGCCTTCATTACCATGACCAGGAAAAAGGTGCTTCTCTTTGTGGCAGTTCTTGAGGAAAGGATGTGTTAAAGCTATATGTGCATCGTGTGTGTGATGCATTACTTACTCGTCTGGAGCAATCTAACAAGCAGAGTCCGAGCAGACCCCGAGCAATAAAAACACGCCGCAACACTGACACCTGTTGGTAACAAGTGTGCCAAACTGTAACAGCATCTTTACAGACCTACATTTTCAGAAGACCCCGGAGATCAACCTAAATGAGTACACCTCCATCTCCCCATGTGAGTCATCTGGATATGAAGAACCAAATGTGAGATAAAAACCTGAAGACTCGATAGTCAGTCTTTCTGGAAGTAGATATCCATATCTCCTGATATCCATGTGCAGCTGAGGTCTAAAAACAGGTACAACAAATCAATACACAGCAGCACGTAGTTCATGTCTAGAGACTCTTTCAGCATTCCTGACATCTGCATGTGAACTGTAGTAAGCATTACATCCCGAAGCCCTGAAAGACATATAGTAATTTAGTCACAAAAGCTTTTCCATCTGGATCCCTCTAAGTGTAAGATGGAACCTGGAAATGAAATACCAGTCTTCAGGACAACGGCAGCTTAAACGAAAGCTATTTAAAAACAAACTATCAATGTAGTATCTTTTTCATTGCTAGCTTCCTGCAAAAGAGTGAGATGAGTTCGACTAGAATAATAATGTACTGTGGCATTCCTCCTATCCTAGCAGTCATCTGTGTTTCCACATGAGCTTTTTTTTGGAGTTTGCTAAATGAGGAGGTAAGCTTTATAGGAAAAAAACAAACAAACAAACAAAGAGGCAACTGGATCTGCTTGCTTTTCAGCATAACAACAAGCTTCTCTACTGGTTGCCCTCACAGACAATAAAGACTCACTACTATAGTCAGCTACTATAATTACTCTCCAGAACAAAGATGTGTAATTTGAGAACTGAGGCTTTCCAAGTTCAGCACCTAATGACAAAGCCAACTTTCATGACCCTGTTCCACAGTGTATTTAGCAAAGAAAAGTGTCACATTAGTAACAGCCATCTAAACTCTTGCTGACTTAAGAAGCAATGTTTCAGTATGTTCCTTGTGTTTTCTACTGTATGTATGGCTCCAGCATTTTTGGAAAGAAGCAACATCAGCAACAAATTGAACACTAAATTGAACTGGCAGCCAATCATGTAGTCATTCAAGGTCACAATAGTCTTGTCTTTACTTCACTGGAGATTGCTAGCCTCCTTTTCAACAGTTAAATAGCTAATTCAGCCTTCAGTACATTAAAAAACATTTCCTCTTCCAAGGTAAATGAGAGTTCAAAAAACCCTCCAGTTCCTAGTTCGTGTCATGTATGGGCTACAGCACTCTCCCTGCGACCTGTTTGCCCTCCTTTCCTCAGAGGAATGCTGTCTTGACCAAAGAACATTACTTCATCTCCTCAACACAGTACTGACTCCTAGATATGCACTATGCACTATTGTGATGCCAGCATTTACAGGAAAGAAAAGAAGGACTACAATCAGCCCATATATTTAAATCTGCAGAAAGTAAGTTAGACTGGTAGGCCATGATTAGCCAAACTGAACAGCATTCAGAATAAGATCTAAGCCTGATAATCCTGGAGGACTTTTCACCCCCCACCTATCTTGTGATTTATTCAGAGGTAATTTTCTGTGCCAGTCATTTGTATCTGAGATGCAAAGTACAAAATGGCTAAGATTCACTTGAATGCAAGGTGATCAGGACTTTGAACAAGATTTTCTTTGTTATGGTTCAGCCACAGTTCTGGACCATGGTATCAGTGAATAATGAAAATACTGAGCTTTGTTAGACAGAAGGGTGAAAGAGAAATGATGTAACTATTTTTATTTTTACCTTCTTTACTGTAAATATATTTGAGTTAATATAGGTCCACCATGATGCTCTGAGTCACAAGGAAATGTGGCATTCCCACACCAAATCACAGGAGTCAGTAGCTTGAAACCTGTTACTCTCACCTTGCTCATTAAAACTAAAACCTTTATTCACAGCAGAACAAACATTTCAAACAAAATTGGAGAAAGAGAAAAAAAGAACTCCACCCTACTGGTAACATCTCCCATGAAAAGTACCTGTGGACTGTTTGCTGAGAAAGGACCCTCACATCCCTGACATTAGCAAATTTTTACACTCATTAGTGCAAGGACCATGTATTACTACATGTTTGTGAAACACCTACAATTGGTTTACAGATCTAATCAGGGAACCTGGAGATTAAGCCAGTGAAAATATCAAATACTAACATTTCTGCAGTTCCTGCACAGTTTGCCAACTCCCTCCAGTATACTACAAATAATTCAATGGTAGTCTTTTTTGTAATAGTTTTTACCATATTTACTGCTGGGTTTGGGTTTGAGGTTGTGTTTTTTCAGTAAAGGAATTATGCAAGTACTGTATTAAAGGCAATATGCACATTTCATGCTGAACTAAAATATGTGACTTGTGACTGACAAAATAATTACATATATCCTGGGTGTTTAGCTATTCTTATGTTTTAATTACTACCTTTGCTGCATCAGGAAGAATAGAGTGTTCTCAAAGACTCAGAATACTGTGTGAGTCAACACACGAGAATGCAACTTTCTTAAAAACATATTTTCGAGCAAATTAAAAATTTGTCTGCCACCAATCAGTAAACTTGTGCTGCTGAGCACTTGGTGATGTTATTAACTTTACTTGTTTTAGACTTTTTATCAATTGACCAGCCTTCTTCATGATCCATGTCAGTTTTTTGTTAGTGATCACTCCATCCTTTAAGTCAGAATCATTATTTCAGAACGTAATGTTAAATGTCAATACTAGTTTGTTGTTTCTATAAAACCTCTTATACCTGATTTAGCGACGAAGCTATCTGAAGGTATATAAGCATTGCTTGGGGATAAAAGAGATGCATTTTGCTCTTACACCTGCTGTGTCAGGTAGTATTAAAAACTATTTTGATGCAAACACCTATTTTGCACATACTTTGCAGTCATGGATATGGTAGAAATCTGAGCAGTGGAATTTCATAAAAAGCAGAAAAAAAAACCACTGAAAAGTGGTTCTCTGGGATTCATGAGATCAGGTTTGTAATTTGAAGAGCAAGGTGAAAGGATATTAACCATTTAACCCAGCTAGAGGCTTGGCTGCAGATGCATTATAAAAGTCATTTATATATTTGACTGACTCCTCATTTTATGAAATTGGACATGATATAGGCATAATAGTATCATACAAACACTTCACCTTTTTCAGAAAAATCAAATGAGTACAAAAACATTTTGCGAACACTCTTATATTAAGCTGAACAGTGAATATAGTTAGCAGTCTTGCTCAAGCCATTACCTGACTTAAAATACATGAATATTATTTTGAAAATGGTACGATCATGTCAACCTAAAACACCGTGTTGGATTTCCTCCTGTTCTGGGGCAAAGCAACCTCATCCAGAATGTCTTCAAGAACCTGGTGCCAGGTGCTGCCTTCCCAGAGTTCCTGCATGCAGCAGAAGGTATGCTGGCCAGGAGCCACTACTTCTCAGTGCAACTAAACACCATGAACCAGCTAATCAGTGATCTCCTGCTTCTGTAATGGACACTGCCTATTCCACCTCTCAAGGTGGAAGGAGCTCAGCAGAAGCTGAGAAATTCTGTTTCTCATACAGGAAACGTGCCCCAGTGACTGGCTACACATTCTGTTTGGAGTTTTTTATCTGTTCCTTATGTTTTATTAGCCTTTGTTTACTGGGAAGAGGAAACTTTTTCCCTCTACTTCTGATAAAGACATTCCCTATCCCCTCCTGCTATTCTTGTGCATTCTGCAGCACTGCAACATGGCTCTTCTGTATCTCTGCCACAGAAATATTATACTGTTGTTATGAAATATTTAGAATATTTATAGCAACAGGACTTACCTGCCAAAACAAGAAGGATTTGCATTTTCTGATATGGGATTTTGACCAGTCATCACACTAGTAAAGTGCATTGACACCTTGTCTTCTCTGGCAAAATTGTAGTCATTTTGCTTGGATGAGGACCTAGCCACAATCAGCTATGTTTGTGCTGTTGCCAAATGAGATTATTATAATACATCACACATGTGTTGAAGACCACCTGGAAGCTACAGCTAGAGCATTATGTAGTTGGCCATGAGATTAACAGTGTCTGCTCTGAGGCACATAGTACATCAACTTTCCAAACACTGCACTTTCCACCTATTTGCATATGGCTGTAGTGGAAGTGACGCCCTGTGAGGTCCTGCATGAGGCAGCCACAGACAGCCCGGCCCTGTCTCACAGGTAGCACTTTAGAGCAACTGAGCTATGCTAGCTTAGAATGTCAGGGTGGAGAGCTTGGGTATTCTCACTGCAACTCTTGACAGAACAACGTCCTCACCTACCTGGCAGAGCCCACAGCTATATATCAAATGATCAATAGAGTGGAATAAACATCGATTTTTGACCTTTGCTGTAACAACTGATTTTTAAGTTTTTTGTACAGAATAACTGTGATCTGTATATAAATCTTGGCACAGACTTGTGGAGTGTTGTATAGGAGTGTCCCTAGTAACTGCACTAGCAATATATATTGTTATATATTTAAAAATCCCATATTTAGAGATCAGAGCATGATCTATTATTCTCAAGAATGGTATAAAAATACTGAACAGCAAACAAGGAAACACAGCTTTGTCTACATTTTCTTCTATTAGAGATCAAGTAGTTCAGCTTCTTTGGCACTGATCTTTATGTGTCCCCACTGTAGCTTGCACATTATTTTCCTGACAAGCCTCATCTCTCATATCACTGATGGATTTATATTCTGCTGAGCTCAACTGAGTACTTAGATAGTCAAAATCTGATCTCATTACATGTGTGTCAGCAGAACTAACTCCAGGGAACTCAATGGAACCAAGTTAGATTTACAGACTTAGAGCCAAATATTTAATTCACCACCTAACATCTGTCATAACCTCAAATTTAAACACTCCATGGACATGACCTACATTCTAAAACTTACAGATGGTATGTTAATATTTCTATAAAAAGAAAAATCTTGCGTGCCAGAGAAGTGTACTCAGTTCTTCTCATCTAAGATATCTGACACGCACCCCAATTCCTCAAGGACCATTTATAAGGGCAGCCAGTTGGAGCTAAGACAAAAGAAATGGGAAAAGAAAAGAAGGCAGCTATGACAACTGAAATGTCAAGGTGCTGGCTAGCCTAAAGCTCAGTTGTAAAACTAATTGGAAAGGGGAGCTCAGATATATACATATAGACATATTTATCACATATCCACTGATTCCTGTGTATTAAACCCTTCAGTGACCTTTCAGGACACTTGTCCTGAAAAGTCTGGAATCATCAGTCCTTGCTCAGAACAGCTTCAAAATGATTTTTCATTTAGCTTCCGATAACGGCGTCTAAAATATGTGCTGCTTCAGAGTTAAACACAGAAACGAGTTCTCATGTTTGGACATACTTTCTTCAGTTAGGCTTTTTCTCTGCATTTTGCACTGCAAAGAGCATTGATTAATGTGAATGTTTTAGCTGTAGTTGTTGTTTGTGTATAAACTTTTGTTAAAACAAGTACTGCAGAATAAATGACCTTTATACAGACACCTATTAAGGCACTAAAAGGCTTGGCTACATTCATCTGAGACGCGTATACATAACGTTCTGAACAATAAAGGGATCAGCAGCTGCAAGGGGTTTGAATTGAATTCTTTAACAATAGAAAAGTTTTTCAGGCCCAAATACCAGCAAAGAGAATTTTTTGCAGATAATCCAGAAGAAAGAAAATAATAAAAAAAAATGCTAGCCAACTTTGCAGCAGTTAGCATAAGGGTGCCATCTGAAACATGTCAGCTTAAGAGTGCCCCATAGTACCATTCTTTTAAACAACCATAGTATTCAGAACTGTTTCCCCAAATAATCCCAGATGGCAAGCCACAAAATTTCAATTCATTTTAAAAGCTTTCTTTGCTGTTATTACGTGATTGAAAGTGCAAAAGCAAGTTGCCATTCTCATGGCACTATTTGCATTGGCTATTATCCCCTAAAATCCCCTTTAAACAGCTACATTGTCAGCCCATAGGCCTCATTTAGAACTACAAAAAAGCCCAGATTAATTCGATCAAAGGGAAAGCCAAGAACAAAATGCACTTTTCAAACTGTATCAGAGTAGGTTCCCTTTACAGATCGTTGCATGGCTAGAGCAATGCAAAAAACCCTTGCCTGACATAAAGCCTCAGCACTGACAGAAATAACTGTGCATGTTTCACATGAAGCTTTTGGGGCTCTTCCAGGGTAAATCTCTCACTACAAACAATTACAATAAAATATATTTAAACATAAGTAAATTAAGTAGCAAGCATCAGTTTTTGCCCATTTGGCTTTCTGCCATCATTTTCAGGAGGCACTGATGTAGTTAGTGCATGGATAACTTAGCCAGCCACAGACATTTCCGAAGTCTGTGCACATTGAAATTTATAATTAATTAACTTAACAGTGAGTAATGAAACATCCAAAAGATACAGATAATTCCCCCAGAATTATTTTGTTGCTATTGTAAAAAACACAACCATCATCATCACTGAGGAAGAAAAGGAAAAAGAAAAAGTTGCTGGTATTTCTGCAAAATATTCTATTTCACAATCTAAGGTAAACCATTTCAAGCCAAGCATAACACAGGTCCATAGATCTACAGCCGAAAAGTCTCTAGTGGCTTTTCAATCTCACCTTGGGTTCAATGGCAGGCAATAATGCTGATATTTTTGTTTTTCACAGAAGCTCCTTCTCTGTCTGCACCCTCTCGCTCTCTCAGTCTCTACTGGAGTTTGCTTAGTGATCCTGCTGCCATCAGTTCTCTCACCCCTGGTCTGAAGCAGTTTCTTCAGCAGCTGCTTTTGTGTATTGAGAAGAACATTTTAGAGAGTAAAGAACAGCAGCACAAAGGTAGAGCAACTGAACACGTGCAGCAATATGTGCCATTGCCTCTTAAAGGACACATCAGGCTGAGAGAGACAAGCTGAAAAGCTGACCAGCTGCAACTAATATTAAAGTCATTTTATCTAGGATGGAGCTAACTTAATGCTTTTGTTAGCCACTTCCAATGGGGTTTAGATTTTTGAACAGTACTCTTTTAATATAACAGTTGTATTTGTTTACTTCTTGTATTTTATGAAATGAGTGTTTTTGTGGTGTTAGTAACAAATGCTGTATAGCAAGAAAGTGTTCCCGTGGAGACAGAAATAGCTGCCACTGAGAAAAAAGGCCTTTAAAATCTGTGTAATAAATGTGTAGTTGTAAAAACTCTTAATTCACTGGTGTACCAACCTTATTTTACTTCTTCTAACTACGAAAACCATAATTTGTGAATTTGAAGAGAAAAAGTTAACATAAAATTAGCTGTGTATTTCAAGGGTGCACAATGTTTTTAAAAAGCATGTGAAAGAGACAGTTTCAGTTTTTAAAAATCTGTTAGATTTAAACATTTGTATGTCACTTCACATATTCAATAGAAATAAATGCCAGAAGTTAAAATAAGTCAAAATTAGGTGCTTGGGTCTTTGTACATAGTACACAGAAATGTAGTTTAAACAAGCTGCTTTTTCCTCAAAAAAGAAGATAACCTCAATTAATTTTGTCCCAGATGTCTCTTTACCATAAGAGATTAATTATTAAACTATCGCAACACTTTCAGTACTAAGTATCAGCCCATAGAAAAATATGATGCATTATGCAATTAGGCCCCAATCCTGTAAGTATGCACATCAGATCTCATTAAAATCCATTTGGTTGTAGAATCAGGTGCTCGTTGCTAGATCCGAAGACACTTTTAGATGTCCAGTTATCTATAAAAATACCTAGTTTAAACATAAAAATCTTCAAGCACATGCTTATTTTCTTTTTGTTTGGTCCTGGAAATGTCTAATCACTACTTCATTCCCAACAGCAAAGCCCCATAAACTGTATCAGCTTGTAAGCATTCCAATACTCAGGTCATAACATGGAAGCCAATAATAGGGTAAGTCCCTCGGGATCCATGAGCACAGGATCCTTGCCACTTTTCAGGACACTGATCAAATAGGCTTTCTCTAGTGACACATGTCAGGTTACAGTCTATACAAACTACAGTGAGATGTGGCAGTCCTCTTGCAGAGCTCTCCTACTAAATCATTCCATCGTTAGAGCAACCCAGATGGAGGGCAAAGGGATTTGAACCTGTATCGTCCCCAGGCAAAGGCAAATTGCAGCATGGATTATTCTACAGGGGGCACTGAGCCTCTTGTGCAGGCTGAATTACACTTTACATATTTAATATAGGGAAGGAAAAGGTTAGAAATAAATGCCACTTTGTAGTTTAGTATTCAAAATACTCAACTCTCCAACAGCAGACAACTCCAAAGACCATGTAATACAATACACACATTTGTTGATCCTATGAGAGTGAGCTATGGAGTCGTGCTCTCTCTCCAGCCAATATATTATTGTATTTGAAGTGCAATACTTTGAGGGATAGTAAGCATATTCCTATTTGTTCTATCCAATGTGTTTTACTTCAGTACCCTGCTATTTTGAATATATAGAACTGAGAATGTTTTAAAAATCGGGTTCAGATCTTCTCAGAAAGGAGAAGGAATTGAAGCTAAAACTCTTACAGAGTTTACATCAATGTCTTAGATTCAGCATCCTATGAAACTATTTGATAAAAACCAAGAACACAACACCACTACCACTGTCCCCAAACCATTTCTAAAAATGAAAATAAATACTGCATTTCATGCATTCTCTCATTAACTATCTAACACTACGATGTCTTATAAAGGCGGTGATATTCAGCTAACAGCTCTCAGTCAAAATCCAGCATATGGGATATATCCATCCAGCCTACTGATGTTTCCCTAAAGGAGATCAATTAAAGAATACAGCCCAAGTGGTCATATTCTTCCTACTGCTCTACTAATGGCCCACTACATAGGTTTGGCCATGGCTGTGTCTGGAAGGAAGATGAGAAAGGGGAAGCCCAGGTGCTGCTGTGAGACGACTTTCTCCAGCTTTATTACACAAACATCTTTCTTTCCTTAGCAAAAATGCAATTCTTTGGGATAGACCAAGGAGACAGAGGCGACTGCAGTGGGGAAGTATTGTGGGCATAGTGGGAACTTTAGAGAAAGTTTATTAGAGAAGTGTTCCTATGGAGTCACAAGGTGCAGAAAGGACCCCTTTGCTTTCCAAACTCCTTCTCAGAGAGGAACCTTGGTGTGGTTGGATCCCGTGTTAGCCCCAGATTTAGTCAACAGTTTATGACTAGAGGATTATACAGGTGTAATTGAACTTCTATACAACTTCATCCTGCAGGATTAAGGATGGCAAACCAAATATATTTATATTGATAAAATTAATTATTTATTTAAATTGATTACAATAATGATAATCATTAGGAAAAAGAGCTTAATCAGAATTACATAGTACACAGTATGGATAGCTGTAACTACTAGTATAGTGCACTATTCTTGAAGCAAAATTGAAGCAACTATATTGAAGCAATTAAAATAAAGCTAGCAAAACAAATATGGAGTAGAGATTGATGTTACTTACCCATACCAATGAACACAGGCAGATCTCTTCTGCTCAGCCACGAGGAGTAACCTTGAGGGGTATCCCCACTCAAGGGAAGAACCTGCATACACGTTAAGGATGTGTGCTAGAAGTCCTTGCTGCACAAAAGTGGGACTGATCTTTTATAGCATAAAGTGTTTGACTGTCAGTCACATGCATTTTTTAGATTAGTTGTTGTTAAGTTTACTCAGCAAAACATGCTTTATACTGACAAAGGTGTTAGCAGCTCTTTGGTTTGTTCTGCTCGACACTTCTCACTCACTTCCATATCAGGACCTGCACATACTTGCTGCTCCAGCCTCCATCAGGGAGTATCTCTCTTCCATGTCCTCATGGTGGGTCTGATATTTTGGTCAAGCTGGTCTCAGCATTCTTCAGCACTAAAAACAGAAGACCCTCTTGCTTGATCTTATCACTGGTCAGTAAACCCTCTTTACTCCACCAAAGAGCAGACCCTCCTTGTTCAAGCCATCACTGATAACTTGTAAACAAGACAGTAACATCAACAATATTAATAAGAAAACTGTACAAGTGAGCATTTGCATGCAAAATGCTCACCAAGCCTGACTCAATGCGGGGCAACCCTCAGACAACGAATATTGGCCGACAGGTTCCCCATCCCATCATGCTTTGTTCCACTGGGAAGGGACATCCTTCTTCCCAGAAGCAGGAGAAGGAGTCCCTTTTCCCTGCCTCTGTCAATAGCATGAGGTGGTAAAAAATAATACAATGTCTTGGCCACTCCCCCTCATGCTCATCTAGGCCAGAATCAGGACACCTAAACATCTTCATAGCTGTCTGTTGAACTGTCTCTGGTAGTTCTATGTCTTTCTTGACTGCTGTCTTAAAACAGCCTGAGACAAATATGTTTAGTTAACCTGGGAGCTGGAAGACGCCACAGGGGGATGTCCTGGAAATATATCCTAGAATACACAAGTCAAATTGATCAGGAAAAAGGAGGATGAGCAGAAAATGGATGCTGCTTTGACAGAATGGAAATATCGCTGCATCAGTTGAATAGAAAAAGGAATATGGGGAAATACAGCAGAGCTAAAACAATGTCAGAGATTACAGCTGCACTCTTGTATTATAACAGAGTGGAGAAATGGATTGTCTTTTCCCTATCCTAGTCCTATTATTCTCCACCCCACTATTAGCCCATTACTTAATCCTACCATGGAGATGGCAAATTTGGAAGCAATATTGCATAAAATTCACAGCCTGATAGAACAGACAGTACAGTGAATCATGGTAGTCTAGTGGCTAATCTGTAAGCAGTTCTCACTTCACAGGTGGTACTAATAAAGTCAGTTTGTGTCTTTCTGCCTCTGTCCCTCTGGTGGGATAACTGTACTTCCTTTGCAGTAGTGATCACTTACATATTTCAAGTACTTGAAAACATATAATTGCTGAGAACTGTGGGAATAATTACTGCAGCTATTAACCTGTTTCTTTCAATAGTGCCTTTCTGGAAACTTATCATAAATGTATGCCAAGTTACAGCCCTATTTTCTGATTCAACTCTTCTCTCCCAAGGTAGAAATGGCTTTTGACTTCTCTGGCCAAAGAAGTGGTCATATTTGCAAGATCCCACAGAATATCTAATTTCAGGCACATTTACATGCATCTAACATCTGGTTCTTGCCCAAAGTCCTACAAATCAGCACAAAAATTTAAAGTACCTCCAGTTTTATGTGGATGGGAAAGTAATTAAGAAGTTTCCATTAGAAGGAAGAAAACACACTTCTGCTTTTCATGTCACTCATGGAAACAACAATGCTTGTTAATTACCAGAACTGGTACTGAACTAAGCATCAGAGAGAATTTATGTAGTCACTCCTCAGAAATACTCCTTCCTACTCCTATAACCAAGAAACATGACAGCATTTGATTTTGCTCCCCCAGTTTGGGGCAGTAGCTACCACAATATCACTTTTCCATCTTAGAAGACTTGTGAAAAGTTTTTATGTCCTTCTTATTGAATGAACAGAAAATAAGACAGTATTTTAAAGACAAAATCATCTGTTTTCTTTTTTGTTTTCTTTTTGTGGTTTGGTTTTGGCTTTTTGTAGCTGAGAGTATAGGCCAGGGCAGTTTTATCTACCTATGATTTAACTTGATGAGAGAATCCAGTTGAACAATATTCACTGCTTTTACTTTTTATGACCTATTCTTTGAACTTCATACATAAGAATCTCAGGACTTACGTACATAGGAAAGTTGAAAGAATTCAAGTGTTGTTATGAATTTCATTATATTTACTACTTTGCACTAGCTCCTTACTTCAACTCTCTTAGAACAGTGTACAGTGATATTTGAGGCTGCCTTTGGCCAGCCACCTACTTTGTGTTTCCAGAGGCTGCCCCAAATAAAGCAATGTGTTGCAGAAAATGTAAAACTTCTGTGAGAGTGTTCTCATTTCAGAAATAGCAATTTT